AAAACAGAGATTTTTACATCCAAAACAAAACTAAAAAAATGGAAACGAAAATACTAAATGTTTGCCTTCACCAAAAAAAATTTCTGAACCAATTTTGGGAGCTCTTTGGATTGTTTCTTCGTTTTTTGTTTTGTGGAAGCAGGAGGCAACTTGGGTTTTTTAACTGTTGGAATTTTAGGGACATCTTCAACAAAGTCGTCATCTACACATATCTCTTTCCCCTTTCTTTTGAGTTGTTTGCCGCCTGGTGTAGCACTTCCTCCAGCATCTACATCGTGCATTTTCTTTGTTCGCATTTCAGCACAGATTTGTCTAGGAGATGAACTCTGAGTAGTAGGTTCCATTGCATGTATAGATTTTACTTGTTTTTGTGGTGATTTTGGTGTTAAAACACTCAAATCGAAAGAGGGGATATCACCTACTGTTAGATTTTTATGTATTTTTTTGGGAGATTTGATGTTCTTCATGGTTTAACTTCAATATTTGGTGAAATTAAATTGAGAAAAATGAAGAACGTGGGTAGCTTTTGTTCTGTATAGAAGAAAACTGAAGAAAACGTGGAGGAGTGAAGGGTAAAGGTAAAACGTGGGGGGGTGGGGGAGTTACGGTAAAGGTAAAAGGTGGGGAGATGGGTTGAGCTGAAAGGAAAGAGAAACGTGGGAATATACGGTCCTATAATTATGCCTAAAATAAATGCCCCATTAATTATATCCCTGTTTCAAATTATGGTATATAAATGGTAATTTAGTATACTAAATGTAATTATCTCTAATCTTAAACATGGAGGGTAATAAGGTTTGATAAGTGGCATAGAAAGGTAAAAATTCCAATTAAATATATAATACTATACGTCATAATAATTAATAAATTAAAATATTTAAAAGATATGTAAAAATATTACTGTCAAAAAACAACTCATCTAACTCTCGAAATCCGAACATTTTCACATAAATTGAGAAGAAAAGAGTATTTTCTTTTGACATATAAATCAAATAAATGCAAAGTACCAGCATTCAATTTCTAAAATATTCAATTTTTTCACATTTATGAGATAAAATACTTAGTAATTAAATAGATCAGTATTAAGTAGTAATTATTTACAAATAATTAGTTATCATGGATATGGTGAATTATGTGTCACTTTATTAACTTGTTGAAACTTAAAACTAAATGATGCTAGAGAATTATATTTAAATTGTGAATATCCAACGTTCAAGATTCATTACTCCTTAAGAGATACATATAAGATTTCATATCGAATACATTACTTTTTGAGTTGTAATGTTGTTATAGCTAATTTGCATATCATGATATATGTCATACTTTTCGTATTATTCATAGTTGAATTATAATTTATACATATTTTAAATAAATTATTTGTTCTAATTTTATGATTTTAATGTAATTTTTATTATTATTTTTATCTATATTATCTTAAAATTTTTGAAATTAGTAAAATTCAAAGATCCATGACTTACGTCCCATGTCTCAGAACTTACGCCTTGCCTCGTCAGAGGTAAAACGCCTCGACTCACGCCCCCGCCTTTTAAAATATTAGTCCATACCAACTGCATGAATTTGGGCGAAAAATTGTGTATGATCTAGTATTCCTGTTTTAGGGCCCTAAAATGTCAAAAAAATAAGAAACGGTCATGGCGAAGTAATGACTATTGTTCATTATGTCGTTTCTAATGAGCCCAATAAATTTTATGCGATTAGGAGCCCGTCGCCCGAATTCATGAAGATGGTATGGACATTAGCACACAAAAAATAAAAATCGTCATGAATTCCTATTTTATGTCCCTAAAATGCCAAAAATTAAGAAACAGTCATGTCGAAGTAATGACTATTGTTTATTAGATCTTTTTTTATGGTCCAAGAAAATTTTAGGCGATTCGAAGCCTGTTGCACGAATTCATGAAGATGACGTGGATATTACCACACGAAAAAATTGAAATCATACTAAATACCTGTTTTATAGCTCAAAAATGCCAAAACAAAATAAGGAACAGTCATGGCGAAACAATGACTATTGTTCATTATGTCATTTTTGATGAGTCCACAAAATTTTATGCGATTTGAAGTCCGTCACCCGAATTCATGAAGATGGTGTGGAGATTAGCATAAGAAAAATTGAAATTTGTCTTGAATTCTTGTTTTATGGTCCTAAAATGCTAAAAAGCGAGGAATAGTCATGGCGAAGCAATAACAATTATTTATTAGGTCATCTCTGATGTGCCACAAAATTTTAGGCAATTCGGAGCCCGTCGAACGAATTCATGAAGATCACATGGATATTAGCGCATGAAAAATTAAAACTCATCTTGTATTCCTATTTATGGCCCTAAAACACAGAAAAACGAGGAACGACTATGGAAAAGTAATACTATTATTCATTAGGTCGTTTATCATGGGCCCAAAAAGTATTAGGCGATTCGAAACCTTTTGCCCGAATTCATGAAGATGACGTGGATATTAGCACAAAAAATTTAGAAATCGACTTGAATTCCTATTTTATGGCCCTAAAACACCAAAAACGGGGAATGTTCATGGTGAAGCATCACTATATTCATTAGGTAGTTTCTAATGGTTCCACAAAATTTCAGGCGATTCGGAGCGTGTCGCTCGAATTCTTGTTTTTCCCAAGAAAAAAGGCATGTATAAGAAGAATTACATATACTAGTAGTACTCCCTCCATTTTAATTTATTTGTCATAGTTTGACTTGACATAAATTATAATAAAGAAATAAAGACTTTTGTGATATGTCGTATTAAATAAATCATAGTTTTGTCTGGCTATAAATGTTTTCCAATAAAAAAAATATAGAAATTTTTTTTTTAAACAGACTAATAACAAAATAGTATCAAATAAATTGAGAAAAAGGAGTAATATCTAACGTGGCCTGGAAAACTAGATCTAACCCTAGTGGGGTATGCAACATTATAGCTACTGATTCAATTGAACCCCTAACTTTCAAGATGGATCATAAATTTATATGTAAAAGTTTATTAAAATTATTAAAAATAGTAGATAGAACTCATAACTTTAAAATATAACGGATCTAATGGTAAAAACCAAAAATGTTGAATCTATAAAATTTAAATTTCGAATTCGCTTCTCCACTAAACCTACAACTAACCGCAACAGTTTTTTTGTTTTTCCTTTCTTTCTAAACGCAACAGTTAACACTCTGAAATATAGTATTTCTTGATCCTCCCATTTTATATTGGCAGGCTTTCTTTATTTAATCTTTTTCAAGAAAAAACAATTTCTTTATTAGAATTTTTTTAATTTAAATTTCCTTTTTTTCTAGTACTCAGATTAGTGAGTGTAAAACTAAAACTAGAGCTGGATTGACTTCCAGCTGGGTGATTGAGAAATTACAAAACAAAGAGATATTCTGCCTTCTTCTCTGTGCAGAAACTCCCCTATTGCATCACACAGGGGCGAAGTTACACTCTGGTGAGGTGGTCAATTGGTCACGTCGAAAAATTACACTGCGTATATAGGTAAAATATTAGATTTTCGAGATATATAACATATATTGAACAGTCTTTGTTAGGATTTTTTTTTTTTACTTCTTTTAAATTTGAACACCCTCGAAAATTCCTGGCTTAGCCACTGGCATCACATACATACTAACGGACATGGCTTATGCTGCTATTAATTCTCTTATGAGCACCATATTGAGATCAGTAAAATCTACTGGACTTAACTTGCAAAAGTACTATAAAAAGCTTGAATCCGTCAGAGCTATTCTGGAGAAACCGTTGAAAGTAATAGGCGATGATCTTGAGGTATTGACAAGTTTGAAAGCTAAAATCGAAGGGCTAGCATACATGACAGGAGATATAGTTGGCTCGGAATCAAGAAAGGTTCTCGTTGTAGAAAGTCCAATTTCACGAAGAATAGCAATTTGGAAACTTCGTTTCAAGATGAAACGAGCAGTAGGACGCATTGATTCCACCGTAAAGCAGTGGATAGGAATGTTGAACAGTGAACATCTGAAAGCACAAAATTTGACTCTTGCCTCTACATCTGATAGTGCTTTAGAGCCTGAGAATAAGATGGTTGGACTTGAAAATGAATTCGAGATGATACAGGATCAACTTGCATCACACATTTCCGAGAGTGAGATGAAGAGGGGCAGGGGCAGATGCAGTAAGGGTGAAGGGGTGTCACGTGACACCGCATGTCTAAATTTTTGTTAAATGTATATATAAATAATCTGCAAAATACCATATAACGTAGAAAATAAATAAGTGTGACAACACTTGACATCAAGCCTATCTTGGCCAGTTGGTGTAGCGCCTGATTTCCTTAACGAAAGTCGCGGGATCGAACATGGTTTTATGTGGTTTTATTCTTCAGTTCTTTGTGGAGGATTTGGACTGGTAAAAAAAAAAAAAAAAAAAAAAAAAAAAAAAAAAAAAAAAAAAAAAAAAAAAAAAAAAAAAGGCAAGAGAATGTATCTCTTGTTACTTTATGGTAAAACTATTTTAAGAAATTCTAAAAAAATTTATAATTCAGCTTAAATTCATTAGATTATCCTAAAGCATCTTTCAAACTTTCAAATCAAGTTCAGAATCTCAAAATTCATCTAATTTGGAAGAAAGGATCAATAGTCAGAGCAACATCGACAAATTGAAAGAGTTAATTTAAATTCCTTAAAGGTTGACCCCGAAAAAAATTATCGGCACCTCAAAATATTATTCAAATAACCATGATAAAATAAGAAGAGCATATCTTCAAAAATGTCTTTTCCAACCTCGAAATCACATTTTTTCTTAAAGAAATTTATGATAAATTTGTCGCTTTGATCTTCAAAGGTTTGTTAAGTATAACATGATGGAGTATAGTGTAACCAATTATGTGACTTTTGCTTCTATTGTTACTTGATTCAAAATGAATGCATTAATCAAGGAGAGGAGATGTATTTTAAGCATCTTCCAAACTTTCAAATCACGTTCAGAATCTCAAAATTCATCTAATTTGGAAGAAAGGGTCAATAGTCAGAGCAACATCGACAAATTAAAAGAGTTAATTTAAATTCTTTAAAGGTTGACCCCGAAAAAAATTATTAGCACCTCAAAATATTATTCAAATAACCATGATAAAATGAGAAAAACATATCTTCATAAATGTCTTTTCCAACCTCGAAATCACAATTTTTCTTAAAGAAATTTATGATAAATTTGTCGCTTTGATCTTCAAAGGTTTGTTAAGTATAACAGGATGGGGTATAGTGTAACCAATTATGAGACTTTTGCTTCTATTGTTACTTGATTCAAAATGAATGCATTAATCAAGGAGAGGAGATGTATTTTAAGTATAAGGTTTACACCCGGGCGGATGCACCTGTTAGGTGTCTGCCATAATTTTCTTACCATATTTGGTTTTTCTTTTTTGTAAAAGGAAATTATAATTCTCTTATACTTGACTAGTCCTTTTTCTTATAGGAAAAGGTTTGTACTTCTATAAATTGAGGATCATTCCTTCTCATTCAGCAACATCCACAATGTAGCCATATGGGGTTTGAGAGTAGTGTTTATGGGGAGAACTTTACGGGACATGTGTTAATGTGTCACTTGTATTTGCCTCTTCGTGAGGTTGTTCTCTGGATATTTTGTACTCTTTTTTATATAGTGGATTGCTCATCTCCGCGATGGATGTAGGTCAGTTGACCGAACCACGTTAAATGTTTGTGTCTCTTTTGGTAGATTTCTCCTTTGTTGTCTGATTTATTGTTGTTCAAGGTTTGCTTTGCTAGCTTCCGCTTGACACCTGATTTTTTTCTGTCCTACCAAGTGGTATCAGAGCGAGGTTCAAGATAGGTTCATCTTGGCGGGTTCAGTTCTAGCCGCAACACATTTGACGATAATCGTGATTTCTTTCTGAGAAATTTGACCGGTGTGCTACGCATGTTGAGACAAACTTCGTGGCGGAGATTTGGAGATGCGACTTGTTGAAGGCTATGTGAAGAAGGTGGATCAAGTTTATTTTGTCAGAAAATTTAGGCCAAGGGGGAGAATTGTTAGGTGTTTGCCATAATTTTCTTACCATATTTGGTTTTCCTTTTTGTAGAAGGAAATTATAATTCTCCTATACTTGGCTAGTCCTTTTTCTTGTAGGAAAAGGTTTGGACTTCTATAAATTGAGGATCCTTCCTTCTCATTCAGCAACATCCACATGTAGCCATATGGGGTTTGAGAGTAGTGTTTAGGGGGAGAACTTTACGGGACAAGTGTTAGTGTGTCACTTGTGTTTGCCCCTTCGTGAGGTTGTTCTCTCGATATTTTGTACTCTATTTTATATAATGGATTGCTCATCTCCGCGGTGGACGTAGGTCAGTTGACCGAACCACGTTAAATGTTTGTGTCTCTTTTGGTAGATTTCTCGTTTGTTGTCTGATTTATCGTTGTTCAAGGTTTGCTTTGAAGCTTCCGCATGACACCTGATTTTTTTCGGTCCTAACAGCACCAAGGTTGAAGCAGTGTCAAAAATATCATTTCTTACTTCTTTAAATGTGACACCACTTATGGAAAATCTTGCGTACGCCACTGAGGAGGGGCATGGCTTATGCTGCAATTACTTGCCTTATGAGCAACGTACATGAATCAATGCAAGTTACTAGATGTAATTTGCAATCGTTCTATGAGAAGCTTGAATCTTCGAGAACTATTATGGAGAAATTAACAGCAGAGCCCCTTGAGGAATTGATAAGCTTGGAAGCTGAAATCATAGAGGTAGCATGCAACACAGAAGATATGGTTGACTTGGAGTCAAGAAAGATTCTTTTCGCAGATTTCATCAATGCTTTGTAGGAACTCTTTTTTCTATTGGAACAAGCAACGGAATGCATTGATTCAACCATGAAACAGTGGATGGCAATAGGGGATAGGTACAAACAACACCAGAGATCGGGAAATACAAAATTTCTCTCTTGTCGATATATCTCAACATGCTTTGGAGATGGAGAATATGATGGTTGGCCATGAAAATGAATTCGAGATGATACATGATCAAATCGCTAGAGGAGCAAGGGAATTAGAAGTTGTCTCCATTGTAGGGATGGAGGGCATCGGCAAGACAACTTTGCTAACAGAATTTACTGTGATCCGTTTATTGTGTCTCATTTTGACATTCGTGCAAAAGCTACTCTTTCACAAGAGCATTGTGTGAGAAATGTACTCTTACGCCTTCTTTCGTCAACAAGGGGAAAGACTGATGAATGTTATGAGGAGCAAGATAATGGGCAACTAGCAGACCGATTACAAAAGCTTCTAAAAGGCAAAAGGTACTTGGTAGTGATTGATGGCATATGGACTACAGAAGCTTGGGATGATATAAAACTATGTTTCCCAGATTGTAACAATGGGGGTCGAATACTCCTAACCACTCGGAATGTGGAGGTGGCTGAATATGCTAGCTCAGGTAAGCCTCCTTATCATATGCGCCTCATGAATTTTGATGAAAGTTGGAATTTACTGCACAAAAAGGTGTTTGAGAAAGAATATTTTTCTCCTGAATTTGAAAAAAATCGGGAAATAAATTGCATCAAAATGTGGAGGATTACCTCTAGCAATTACTGTGATTGCTGGACTTCTCTCCAAAATCGGTAAAGCATTGGATGAGTGGCAAAGTGTTGCCGAGAATGTAAGTTCAGCGGTAAGCACAAATATTGATGTCCAATGCATGACGGTGCTAGCATTGAGTTACCATCACTTTCCCCATCACCTAAAACCGTGTTTTTTGTATTTTGCAATTTTCCCAGAGGACGAACTGATTTTTGTAGATAAACTTATGGAATTATGGGCAAGTGAGGGATTCCTAAAGGTAGGAGAGATGAAAAGTATAGAAGAAGTGGCAAAAAAATATCTAAAAGAACTTATAGATAGAAGTTTAATTTGCATACACAATTTGAGTTTTGATGGAGAAGTCGAGAGTTGTTGGATGCATGATGTGATCCGTGAACTCTGCTTGAGAGAAGCTCGAAATATGAATTTTGTGAATGTTCTCAGAGCTAAGAGTGGTCAAACTCCATGTCTGCAATCCACGCATTTTTCCTCTATTAGTCGAGTTCGGATCAGTGTCCACTTGGCTAGGTATCCTGATATTGAGGTCCGTTCTATTATCTGTTTTAGAGGGAATTGGTTCTCAGAGTTGTCGCATTTCAATTGAGGCTCCTCCGTTTGGATTGGAATTACTTGGTGTATTTCGAGCCAACAGAAAAAAGTTTGGTTTTGAAAAATTTGCAGGATCTGTATGGATGGAATCCTTGGTATTGTAATGGATCTCTCTTCTTTCCTAATTTAAAGAAGTTGCAAATACGTGGCATCGGAGAAGACTTCAGTAGTTGTAAAGACCTCTATGATTTTCACTGCTTAGATCAGCTCGAGGAATTGGAATTTTGTCTTGCTTATCGAAATGTAGATGCTGCTTGCTTTCTGGAAACACTTAAACCTTCAGGCGCTACTTCACAAGACCTTCTGAGGAGGCTGAAATTTTCGATGGAGAGTCCATCTCTGCCCCTTCTTCCTACAGATGATGCTTTGCCACATTTGCTTTTACCTCCTCCAGATGCTTTTCCGCAAAGACTTAAGAAGTTAGCTTTCAGTGGGACTTCTTTGCGATGGATGGATTTGGGCATTGTTGGTAAACTACCCAAACTCGAGGTTCTTAAACTAGAAAATGATGCATGTATAGGCGACGAGTGGGAAGTAGTTGATGAAGGGTTTCCTTACATGAAGTTGTTGCTACTTGAACGTCTGAAGATTCGTTATTGGAGAGCCAGTTGCGATCACTTTCCATGCCTTGAACGACTGTTTCTGGAACGTTGTCTTGGTTTGGATTCAATCCCTCAAGATTTTGCAGATATAACCACACTTGCTCTGATTAATATTAGCAGTTGTGCAGAATCTGTTGGGAATTCCGCTAAGCAGATTCAACAGGACATTCAAGATAACTATGGAACATCTGTTGAGGTTACTATATTTAGGCCTGTGAAAGCCAATAATATTTACTTTAGTTAATCTATTTTCAGTTTGATTATAGGACTGTTATACAGAATATCAATTTTTAGAGCTCAGTAAAGTCAGTTGTAAATCTTTTTCCGTATAAATAGAAATAGTTTTGTAAAGTCAGTTGTAATATAATCTTTTAGTTGGTTTTCTAATGCATCTTCTGTTTCTTAATTTTTTACTGATCTGCCTTCAGTTACAATGTGATCTAAAGTTAGATTCTTTTGTGTTTTCCTTATTTTTTTCTGATATCAATGTTAGTTTCCTTCTTCCAGCAAAACCAAAAAAGAAGGGCCAATGATTTACATTTTGCTTTTGATCCTGTTATAGTATTCGAGCTTTTACAACTCGTATGTTCTGTAATTCGAATCGTGGCATCTTAGGCATTGGAAGAAAATGCAGATTTCATGTTGTTTTAGTTTTTTGACAAAACAACACCCTAGGCCCTAGGATCTTTCTACTTTTTCTTTTTCTTTTAAAAATAGACCAGCTAGCATTAAAAAAAAATTTTACCTGCTGAAAGTATCACTTTTGCCCAAATGCTGGAACCCATAAGGTTCAAATCCTGACCCTTTGGATACCATATGTAATCCATGGATGTCTAATCAGAAAACCGTATACGAGCTCCGTGGCTAATATGTGCTCTTTGGATTTTTCTCTCGTTAAGGGTGCAGAGATCACATTCATTTCATCACTTCCCTCGGTAATTTTCTCCCTGATAAAAGGAAGGTTTGACTTATGAACACAAGCTGTATGTGTAGGCGTAATTTAATGTTTATGTCATAAATAACTTATTCTATGAACTTAAATAACTGATTATTCAAAAAGAAGCCAAGACGTGCAGTGTGAGATTTATAGTCAGCTAAGCTTTTCTCATTTTAATTAACAAATAAAATTGCTTTTATACAAATTTTCCAGTTGGAATGGCTCTACAGCTTAGTCAAGTATTCATTTAGTATAAATTATTCATGTACTTGTCCTTTACTCTATTAATGTTTAACAGGTCATCTTTTAACTACTGATATTTTCAGTCAACCAATGAAAGCTTACAGCTAATTTTTTTTTTGTTCTTAAACTAGAATCTCTAAGCAAACTTAATTCTTATCAAAAACCACCATTTTCAACAGAGTAGGCTACAAAAACTCTGTTGAGAGATTCTGTGTATTGCATCACATACACACGAGAGAGAGAGAAAGAGGGACATGGCTTATGCTGCTATTACTTCTCTTATGAACACCATACAACAATCAATGGAATCGACTGGACTTGTGATGCAATTGTTCTATGAAAAGCTTGAATCATTGAGAGCTATTATGGAGAAATCCTGCAATGTAACAGGCAATGTATTGACAAGCTTGGAAGCGCAAATCGCAGAGCTAGCAGATGAAGCAGAATATAAGGTTGACTTGGAATCAAGAAATATTTTTTTGCCCGAAAATGAAAAAAAGCAAAGAAGAGCTTTTGTGAATCTTTATTCCCTTGTAAAAGAAGTAGTAGGACGCATTGATTCAACAATGAAGAAGTGGATGGCAATTCAAAACAAGCTCAAGAACATCCAAGATCTTAAAGCACAAGATTTGTCTCTTGTCAGTACGTCACGACATGGCCTAGAGCCTGAGGATAAGATGGTTGGCCTTGAAAATGAATTCGAGATGGTGCAGGATCAACTTGCTAGAGGAGCAAGGGAACTAGAAGTTGTCTCAATTGTCGGGATGGGGGGCATCGGCAAGACAACTTTGGCTAACAAAATCTATAGTGATCCATTCATGATGTCTCACTTTGGCATTCGTGCAAAAGCAACAGTTTCACAAGAGTACTGTGCGAGATATGTGCTTCTAGGCCTTCTTTCTTCTATAAGTGGAAAGTTCGATGAATTTCATGAGCATCAAGATGATGATCAACTAGCAGACCAACTACAAAAGCTTCTAAAATGCGGGAGGTACTTGGTAGTCATTGATGATATATGGACTAGAGAAGCATGGGATGGTATAAAACGATGTTTCCCAGACTGTAACAATGGGAGTCGAATACTCATGACCACGAGGAATGTGGAGGTGGCTGAATGTGCTAGCTCAGGTAAGACTCCTTATCACATGCGCCTCATGAATTTTGATGAAAGTTGGAGTTTGTTGTACGAAAAGGTCTTTGTAAAAGACTATTTTTCCCCTGAATTTGAACAACTTGGCAAAAAGATTGCACTAAACTGTGGAGGATTACCTCTAGCACTTGTTTTGATTGCCGGACTTCTCTCCAAAATTGGTAATTCATTGGATGAGTGGGAAAGTGTTGTCAAGAATGTAAGTTCAATGGTCAACACAGAGGTTAATGTCCAATGCATGAGGGTGGTTGCATTAAGTTACCATTACTTGCCTCATCACCTAAAATCGTGCTTTCTATATTTTGCAATCTTCCAAGAGGATGAACTGATTTTAGTCAATAAACTTGTGGAATTATGGGCAGCAGAGGGGTTTTTGAAGGTAGAAGAGAGGAAAAGCATAGAAGAAGTGGCAGAAAAATGTCTAAAAGAACTTATAGATAGAAGTTTAATTTCCATCCACAATTTGAGTTTTGATGGAAAAATTGAGATTTGTGGAATGCATGATGTGACCCGTGAAATCTGCTTGAGAGAAGCTCGAAACATGAACATTGTGAATGTTACGAGGGAAGAGAAGTATCAAAATTCATGTGTGCAATCTATGCATTTTTCCTCTAAGAGTCGAGGTCGGATCAGTATCCAATTGATCACGTCTGAGCAGAATACTGAGAAAATATTGGCAAGGTATCCTAAAAATGAGGTTCGTTCTATTATCTGTTTTAGAGTGAAAATGTTCGTGCCAAAGTTGTTGCACTTCAAGCTAGTAAGAGTACTAGATCTTGCTTTAATGAGATTTTCTGCTTTTCCCAGTTTGATTCTTGATTTAATTCACTTGAGATACCTAGCTTTGAGTCTTTCTCCTAGCTTGCAGCATTATCTAGGAGAAGAGATTTCCTCATCTTTTTCAGTAGACATTCCTCCATCGATATCTAGCCTATGTTATCTGCAAACTTTTATACTAAAACTTTTACAGCCTAATGCCCGGGAATATCCTCTGGTATTACCATACAAAATTTTGACGATGCCACAATTGAGGCACCTCCATTTGGACTGGAATTACTTGCAGTATCATGAGCCTATGGAGAAAAGTTTGGTTCTGAAAAATTTGCAATGTCTGTCTGGATTGAATCCTTGGCATTGTACTAGGTCCGTCTTTAGACAATTTCCCAATTTAAAGAAGTTGCAAATATGTGGCATCTGGGAAGACTTTCGTAGTCGCAAGGACCTCTATGATTTTCACTATTTAGATCAGCTCGAGGAATTAGATTTTGTTCTTACTTATTCATGTTATGCTTGCTTTCTGGAAAGCATTACATCTTCAGGCCTTTTGAGGTTCACGAGGCAAAAACGACGAGCAATTTTGCTGGAGAGACCATCTCTGGCCCTTCCTCCTACAGAAACTTTTCCATATTCAATCCTTCCTCCTCCAGATGCTTTTCCGCAGAACCTCAAGAAACTGGCTTTTTACGGGACTTGTTTGCAGTGGAAGGATTTGAGCATTGTTGGTAAATTGCCCAAACTCGAGGCCCTTAAACTAGGAAATAGTGCCTGCATAGGCGTGGAGTGGAAGGTAGTTAAGGATGGTTTTCCTAGCTTGAAGTTTTTGCTACTGGAACGTTTGAAGGTTCGTTACTGGAGAGCCAGTTGTGATCACTTTCCGTGCCTTGAACGGCTATTTCTTGAACGTTGCTGGGATTTGGATTCAATCCCTCAAGATTTTGCAGATATAACTACCCTTTCTCTGATTGATATTAGCAGTTGTGCAGAATCTGTTGGAAATTCCGCCAAGCAGATTCAACAGGACATTCAAGAAAACTATGGCAGTTTTGTTGAAGTCAATATCCGGAAGCCTTTGTAAGACATCTTCTTCCTCGATTTACAAGTTTTGTTGCTTGTAGTTGTTTTTCTGTGTCAAATGCTACGGCTTGTTTGGTCAAGAGTATAGTAAATAGATAGTCTTATTTTAGTTATGTGCACTGCTGTATATTTTCTTATATCATTGCGTAATATTGATCTACAATAACATATAACTCTTCATAGTAAGCCCGATATAGTAACCTAGATAATAGAGTAATAACCTGCTCTAATAAGTTAAATCGCACTGATAGAGTGAAAATCATCTTCTACAAGTTAAATCCATCGAATAATAACATGTAACATGTTATACCTGCATGCTCATTCCTGCTATAACTTTCTCTTGTTCCTTAATTTTGAAAAATCTACCATTTCATTTTTCATCCTTTGTGATGTTTCTTTTTTCCACAGAAACATGCGACAAGGACCGAGTGGTTGAGCAGCAAGAACTTCAGCTGTGGAAGCCCTTTCTCAGCTACTTCCCACTCCGTATTAGTACTTGAGGAACCATACTTGCTCTAATTGATATAAGCGACTGCGAAAAAATTGTTGGGAATTCCGCCAAGCAGATTCAACAGGACATTCAAGATAACTATGCAAGTTCTGCTGAGGTCCATATCAGTTAAGCTGGAATTGGATTTTTCAAATTTCCATGGATTTTTCATTTAGGGTAGAATTGGATTTTGTTCAGTCTTTTCTGAATGTTGGTAGGTCATAAGAGAAACTAGACCTGTATAAACAAGTTAGGAAAATCTTTCGCTATTATACATAAACTTTGAAAGAGAAGGAGAACCTCGGAGTAAAGTTGCATCCATGTGACCATGAGGTCACGGGTTCGAGCCGTGGAAGCAGCCTCTTGCATAAATGCAGGGTAAGTCAATGTGGTTATTTCTGCAAAATCTTGAGGTATCAAATCCAAGTACCAGCAAGCTTTGACGATCAAATTCAACACTAGATTATCTCTTCACATAGATTGATATGGACAATTGCTTAAATTTCTCTATTTTAGACACGGTGAGTCAGGTGAATGCCTCATCTCTTGTCTCTTCTTTTTTAAATAAAAACTGTTACAAGAAATAGTTTAGAGAAATTTTCGTCGTAGCAAAAACCACTTGCAAGTCGCATTTTCATCCAACATCAACTATGGTACAACTTAGGAAATTAGCAATGCATAACTTAAAGCATAAAATCAAGGCTAAACAAAAATTTCAATGTACAATGATTACTGTGCTACAAGTAGGTGTTGAGAGAGTAAAATCTCAGTATTTTGATAGACAAGGACCGGGTTCAATACTATATTCTTGGCCATAAGTATTCCTACAATGAGCAGTAACTTCCCTTCCTGGTGTTGCTTATGTTAGTTGTATTAGTTGCATTGTTATATCAGTGCATGGTACTGATATACTGCAGTTCAGATTTATGGCGATATTTGTGCTTGATGTTCCAAATATGTTCTGGTAAATAACATTGCTAATTTGCATTCGAGTTACCTCTCATGAAAATGGTATTGAATATCTATTCCTCGGTGTTATACACCAAATCAAGAAATTTAACATTAGCGGAAAAAAATGTGTGAAAAACATATATCATGCATTCATTGGTTTGGTGTGAACATCAGGTATGGACAAGTTTTTATTAAGTTTGAATATGTATTTAAAGCAATGTTAACTTATATTACCATGTCCTTGCAAGCACTGCCAAACTATTCACAAGAAGTTAATAGTAAGCATCGGATGGATTTTATATACTATGGAATCAACTGAAACCATTATTTTCGACATGGAATATAGATATATATTGAAAAACTACTGAAAATTTCAATAATAACTAAATTATGAACCCGTAATCTCAAAAATACATATGAGTTTGAAGCTAAAAAAGAACATTGAGTTTAATCTTCAATCTGCTTTTTGTTTTGATCAACGCATTTAGGGAGAGTAAATTCATGTTTGAAGTCTCAATAGTATTGTTCTGCTCAGAAACCGGCTTATATGTAGGCTTATTTCACATGACGATGGTTAATTTATGCATATTCTACCACATTTAATCATTTAACAATAGTAAATTGACAGGGAGAGTAAATTCATGTTTGAAATCTCAATAGTTCGGAGAAAACAAATGCTGCAGATAATTTTTTGCACAGATCCCTTCTCTTTGACTCTTTCATTTACTCAAAACTCTCTCTCAACTATTTTCTCCAAACAAACACCGCATCCACCCATCAAATTTTGCCTTTTTGTTATGACGGCGTTGTCTGGATCAACTAGTACCCACCTTGAATATTTTATTGGGTATCGATTATTTTCCACTAGCATAAGTACCTCACAAGTTAAGACCACAGCTCACCTCTCATTTCTATTGAACTTTCATCTTTTACAATTTAAACAGAAAAATAATCCTGCAAACACTTGTATTTTATTCTATGATCTCTTATATGTAAGAATAAAAATCTCTTGAAAGATTTTACATAAAACTTAAAAAAATGTAACGGACTACAAAATCAATTGTCTCGAGCCATATATTAACAAAGGAGTACCCGTTTTTTTCTCTAAGATTCATCAAATACTCACCAGGCAACTACATCCAGTGACAGGAGCTATGCATGGTGAACGGGTTCAATCGAGCCTTCACTGGAAAATTATATTGCATCTTCAGAGAAAAATATTTTAAATATATATAAAACTTATAAAATTCTCGTTATATTAAGAAACTTTTTAGTGTAACGTTTCTCTAATTTCCTTGTTCGAATTTCTGATTTCGCCACTACCTACAAGGCTACAACGCAGGAATCATTCACCGCGATCACTAGAAAAACTCGCATCACCACCGCCCATTCAGAGAAAAATATTTTAAATATATATAAAACTTATAAAATTCTCGTTATATTAAGAAACTTTTTAGTGTAACGTTTCTCTAATTTCCTTGTTCGAATTTCTGATTTCGCCACTACCTACAAGGCTACAACGCAGGAATCATTCACCGCGATCACTAGAAAAACTCACATCACCACTGCCCATTCAGAGAAAAATATTTTAAATATATATAAAACTTATAAAATTCTCGTTATATTAAATAACATTTTAGTGTAACGTTTCTCTAATTTCCTTGTTCAAATTTCTGATTGCGCCACTACTTACAAGGCTACAACGCAGGAATCATTCACCGCGATCACTAGAAAAACTCGCATCACCACCTCCCAGCTCCCATAAAAATACTATGTCGTCAATAATAAATTTCTTACTGCATTTGGAAAAGACATCATAAAAACCCCATTCTAACGCACAAACATTTAGAACAAACAAAACAAAACTCCATTGAAATGGGAAATACTAAATTGCACATTACAGCAAGTTGTATGACATACAATATGTACAACTGATTGGAGGATTAATAAAAATTACAAGACCGACACTGGATAAAAGACGATATACAATTACATTTAAACGACTTCCAAACTCATCCTACCTATGCCAAAATTTAGAAAAGAAAAAGAATGAACAAGATTTCTACTCAAACAGCTGACTTCTGAATCGATATTTCTTTCAGAGAACTAGCTAATCTTCGGAACACCTTAAGGTCATGACCCGTTTTATCCTGCAGACAAATGAAGGATAAAAAATGAAATGCTAGATTCCCATAATTAAGAAGAGACAATTATAACAAGCATTAGCATGCAGGTTACAAAGTTAAAATATTGCTAAACATGGCTGAACAAGAGAATTATCACAAGCATGTTATTCTTTTTTGATAACCAAGAAATCCTCAAGGGCCAATGGCGCATGGTTCGAAACTCAATGAATAATGGGTTCACCCTTCTAACCCTTACATATCATGTTTTGCAGGAGGTTTAAAACCCGTGAAGCGCACATAAGCCACATTATGAAATGCGCTCTTACCATTAAACCAAAGCCTTGCGGGTGAGAATTATTACAAGCATTGGCATGCAAGTATAGGAAGTTGAAATAGGTTCATGCCGAGTCAAATAGGTTCACATAAATTGAAACAGAGGGAGTATTGTTTAGGGTACAGGGAAGGAGAGGAGTTTTAGTTAGCATACCTCGCTTAGAAGTTCAAGCCTCTCCAAAGCTGAGATTAACTTTCCACAAAGCAAATTCAAGTCGTCTTTTGCGTATGGTTTGGTGCCACATTCAAAAGAACTGCAACGCCCAAGTGAAGTTAAGCAAGCAGAATTTGCATAACCATGAAAGAAAGAAAAAATGTATTAGCAACAATACCTGTCCTGAAAATGGACAAGGATAATATTCATCACGTTTTCCGCCAGTAAAAGTAATAGTGTCATCAGTTTATTCCTATCTCCAATAATCTGGCACATCTCCACCATTGCAATATATCTCCTGGAATACAAAATGATGTGAGCAGAGGGACCAATCAAGAAATTAGTCTGATTAGTATACTAAAGAGATTTTAGGCACAATAATTATTCACCTCTGAGCAATGCAGACCATACAGTCAACACAATAATTGCAAGTAAGACTAAGCATACGACTGTATATCCAATATTTGACGGCAAAGAGAATTTATTTTCTGTATCAGCGTTTAATGAAATAAAAATTAACTGCAATTCCTAAGATTTGACCACCCACAGAATCTATTTTATGTCTTGGAATTAAAGAAATTTCCAAGGAGATATTATGTACTATCATCAGTGCATCAGGGCTGGTGCGAAAAATCTGTCTTTTCTATCAGCAATCAAAAGCGAGAGACCAAAACACATGAGTTGGACTGATGGAGTTGCACTAATAGGAAGTTCATTGACACTCAATGAGAAACTTAAACATGAATTAGAAGGAGCCTATAGACATTGAATGATATATATAGGAATTACAAGATAAATAGTATATTTTGCCTAAGTACAGACAGCGTTAGATCATCTAGTCCTCCAATAGAACTATAGATGACATTCCGAAATATGCATACGTTGCATCAACAAATCACTAATACCAAGTAAGCCTCTGAATCTCTCACACGTTACAGCAGAAGGATGAGAAAACAAAATATTATCCATGCTCTCCCAGTAAGTACCGACCACCCTCCAGCTAGTATTGAAAGTTCAATAATCTAGATCAGACATCATATTACAACTGGACATGTATATCTCCTGAAATCGTATTACATGAAGCTGCATGTACCTTTTCTGAATGTTTTCAGATGACGAAAAACAGCCCTTGGGAATACACATGTTAATGATTTCATCCACTTCCTGTCTTGATAATTCATTTATATCTTGAATCTGGGAAAATAAAGAGATTTGAAGTTAAAATTAATATTTTTATAAGATAATTCTACTCAGATTATAAGAAGTACAATTTTTATTCTTTATTCAGTAGCCAAAACACAGATCTTTCACCTTGCTAAGCAGTAAATATCTGTCCTCCGTAGCCCTTTCCAGTGCTGTAGCCAGAGAGTTCAAAAGAAAACCAAGTAAATTCAAGGTTGGCTGTTGCTGAGCAGCGGAAGCACGATAGTCCATTGGACCATCTGAGACCTGATCCAAATATAATGAACAAAATTGTATGACACATGCCATTCTTTATTCTCAAGGCAGCAGCAATAGAAAGAGACATAAGCATTTCATGCCTAACCGTTAAGTTAAAAGTTAATAAGAAGAAAATAGTTAAAGAAGCAAAATTGATGTACCGGCAATCTTAAAGACTTCTTCGTTACAAGAAAACAGAGATAAGAGCTCAGGCTAAAGCAAAGACGAGAAACATTCACTGCTGCCTTCCGCCTTTCCTGAAAATAGAAAAGGAAACACAGCTGAGAAGAACTATGACTATACAGACTTCAACGTTATAAATATATCTTATATCTTGCCTCCGGAATACACAATCAAGCTACACCTGGGAGTTCTTATTACCTCCAGAAAACGTATGGATTGGTTTGTAATAAAACAATCTGGATCACGAGAGAAAAGAAAACGCATCATCACAAAAAGCCCTTGAACAAAACCATATTCATCACTCTCTTCATATGGCCAGATCTGCACAGATTTACAGTTAAAAGTAGGTCAAGAAGAAGTGTTAGATAAGAGGTGGACTAGCAAATGGTAATTTAAATGGCTAAAACATCAGCAATTTACCCTTCAATGGAATTGAAATCAATCTAAAAGACAGCAATGCCAAACAAACTTTATGCATATCTGTACCTTTGTAAGTATGCCAACCACCAGATTTATTTGTTCCATTGTCAAGTCATCAGCATCAGAAAGATCTTCTCGAAGAATTTGATCAAAAAGTAATTGATGACCTCCTACAAATTCAATGACTTCACGGACAACTTTATTTTTAACCTGCTAGTCACCCACGTAATTAAGATGACAGATTTTAAGATATGAAGTAAAACAATTCAAAAATTCAACAGGAATGAGAAGGTCGAGTGCAATCAGGAGAAGCAGAAAACAACAGGGAAATGTTGTGACAAAGTTCAAGGGTTTTAAACTAGAAAATAAAGAATCATTTATTCTACATACATGTATATTCACATATACGAGTGTATGACACCATTGCGCTTCTAAAATTCCCTCCCTCCCTCGGTCCCTCCCTCCCTCTGCTATATATAAGTAAAAGGGTTTCATTTCACCAAAAGCAGCATTGTCAAAAGCAAAATGTGTAGAAATGTACCAAAGCCCTACAACTCAAGAAACGAGCGCACGAAGAAATATGCACGAACAATATATGTACAAAGACACCCACATAGACATGTACAAGCAAGAAAACATAACTATACACATAGATAATTATATAAGTAGCAGGAAAAAGAAAACTTCAACTTCATTTTAGTGATATACATGAAAGAGACAAAGTGAATCAATTTAAAATACCATCTTAACTTTATGATTGAAATACAACAACGCAAACATAAATTTTAATCCAAATTAAATGACTATTTTATTCTTATTTAGTTTCTAATTTCCTATTACTAATCACAGTCAGAGACTCACATTTATCCATTATATACATTAGTATCATTTTAGCTACTATATTTAGTATTTCTCACAGTCCTCTTCAAGAGAGGAAACAGGATCCTTGTAAGTTAACCTAACTTGATTTTGATACTCAACCTAATTTTTTCAACAATAAGTGAGTGCTTGGCTGCTTGGTTTTGCTGAGGTACGCCCTAAGTGCTAGAGGGTTTAAGTGCACCTCATACATAATGTCTATGACAACAGTGACCAAAGTGGAACCTCTTGAACATAGATGAAATACAAGAAGCGAATGAATCTATCATAGCAAATTGAAAGTATGGAGTATTCAATTAGAAAGTTTTTGACAATAGGAAAGATATATGTGGTCATTTACAGTTATACCTGTAAAAGAAAAAACAAAAACGCATTCATCTATGCATGAGATAGATGTTACATTGTAATGTACAAAACTTAAGAAAGATAGCATTTCCCAGTGGAAAAGACCAACTACACTACAGAAAAGTGAGGTTAAATGAAGAAAAACCCGCGAAAGAAATAAGCTTTAAGGAGATTGTTAATGTTAAGCCATTTAATTAATATCAAGACTTAGTAGCTTCTTCATGACATTTAAGTTCAGTCGTGTTGCATCAATTACTTTATATCTTATGCATATTCAACTTATATGACAAAAGTCATTTGTTTCTTTCTTAAACTCTGCATTCAACCAAATACCTCAAAACAAATCTGGGAGGAGGGAGTATATGAGTTTATGACTACAATGGGATTGTGGATGAACCTAGCGCTACAGGATTTCAGTCAAAAGGCCTCTCCACTTCTATTTTCCCCTTCCTCATTTTCATGAGCCCACCCCATCCAAAAACAAAGTCTCTTTTAGAAAAAATGATTACATCATGTGCATAAGTGCCAAATTATCAGAAGTGCATTCTTCTTTTCTTTCTACAAAAGGTTACTCGTTAGTGTACAAGAATTCTATGCACTATTCGCCATCAACAACTTTTTGACTTCAATATGAAATATCTTTTACATGTCTTTACGACTTTATACTGCATTATATTGAAGTTCAAAGCTAACCTCAAAAAATTCAGATGCATCAATCAATGAAGTAAGTGAAAACACCACTCTCAAGATTGGAGCAATGATCATTCGTTGTTTATCAACGTCAACTGACAATTCTCTGCCAAACTTTCCATCCATGCGCTGGTAGCTTCCCTGATAATAGGTCGTAACAATTTAATGAAAAATGTCATTGCGAACTAAAGCACATGAAGAGAGGAACAAAGACCTTCAATTGTATACTCAGTGCCCTACAGGCAGAAATGTGCTCGAATGCACCCATTGAAAAAAGCACTTGGGCCCCTGATTTCCCATACTTGTGGCTAATTCTCAGAAGAAGAGCAAGTTCAGCTTCAAGAGTGCAGACACGCTGCATTGACTCCAAAGATAGCCCACCATCCTAATGAGGGACTCCAATCAAACTTTTAAAACCCACGAAAAATATATAAACAAAAACAAAAACAAAACAAAAAAAAAATTTGAGAATGAAATAAAGAACATACCTTATACATGCAAGTTAATACATAGAATCTGAACTTGTGTCATAAAAGACACAAAAGACTGAAAGGGTTTCCATCAGGTTGGAAACTTAATACACATTTCAAGGGGAGGGGTAAATACACCCCTAATTAGGCTGCATGGACTTTGACATAATCATGACTTTCCCTTGCTTTCATTTCTTACTCTTCACCACACTTTGCATACAAAGACTCACACAAGAAAAAAAGGGCAGCCCGGTGTACGAAGCATCCCAAGTTCACGCAAGGTCTGAGGAAGGGCCGCACCCAGACAAGTGTAATGTAGGCGGTCTACTCTAACAACCTTCAGTGGTTTCAGCTCGAACCCATGACCTATAGGTCACAAGGAGACAACTTTACCGTTGCTCCGAGCTCACTCACTTATACAAGAAAAAGATAAAAAAGTTTTTTCCAATAAAGGTCCAAAATAACTCTAAAACATCACTATCAACAACAACAAAACCAATAAAACGCAACCTTCTGATTTGTGTGGTTGACACTGGATCTACTGAAGTTGATACAAAAAATCATTGCTTCATTGATCAACATTTTTTGTTACTCATTTCTTTTGCCATTTCTGGTACTCCTAGAAGTCATGGCTTGAATTAATACCAAAACAGAAGAATATTAAAACAGAAGTAAGCTGGCTTACTAAGATTTTTCAATTAGCAAAGGGACAAATGTCATAATAAAGAGACTTTTGCATGTGCTTGGATTACACTTCAGTTAAATAACAGTATGCTGCACAGCTAAGGAAACAAATACAGGGTAGAAAGAATAATGACACTCTAGTGAACATACTATAAATTTGGTTATTACTAATTAATAAATAATGGCATAACAAAGTTGTTGACGACTCCTAGTTCAGGATCTACACTGTACAGGAAATGTGAAGCAGCGACTGAAGGGAAGCTTACTAGAATTGAATTACTATCCTAATGTCCATTGAATTGTATAGAAAGTGTAGGAGGGATAGAGTTACAGAAGAAATAGCTTAGTCTGGGACTCATGTCTAGAACAAGCTATAGAAAGAAGATGTGTGTAAAATATTACTTGGTAATAAAAATGTTTAGTTACCAAAAAAAAAAAATTGTTGACGACTTAAAAGGTGAAACTTGAAGGAAATAATGGAAACCTGTAAACGAAATTTAGTGGAACATATTTTACACCCAAAAATATGAACTTAGTGGAAAAGAGATCAGATGCTCCAACAGGAAAACAGAGATTGTTATTGCTCTCTATCATGTATAACAGTAATGCTTGACATAAAGGAAAGACTGCCCAGATATCAACAGAGATCTTATGGAGGAGATGGATCAAATACCTGAGAAAAGTTATTGATGCTCACAAGACAAGACCTCAAAAAGCCTCTGCTTTGCAGTTGGCTCAAGAAAAACTTTTCATGATCAATGCAAATTAAAGCATCCAAAACATAGAGCGAGATAGTCTTTCCAGATTCACTGCCATGGGTTGCATCTTTTATGATCTATTTTTCGAACAAAGCAAAGAACACAGTAAGCTAATGCAGCAGAACAGCAATTTTAATACATATACACCTCAAAATGCAAAAGGAAAATATAGAGTAATAGAGTGTCTGATATGGTGGAAAATGCTTTTACCGCAGGAAATCATTTTTAAGTTTTTGATCGAGTATAGAAGTAGATGACATATGATAATCATAGAAAGTGGAGAATATGATATGAGAATAGCGTTCTGAGCTTCTTTTTTTGGTTCTGAGGATATTTATGTACTGAACATTGACAACAATGTCAAAGTGATAGCAGAAGAAAGTGATATTGAGTAACATTTGAGCTAGTTTAAAGCAAAGAATTTGCACCAATGAGTGAGAGAAGTTACTTTCTCATTTGGTGGAAAATCTACAAATAAAATATATTCAACAATTCCATGCAACCAAACAACCACCACAATAACACCTATGCTTCAATACGAGCTAGTTGGGGAATTCAATGTAACTAATTACAACAACATAATTTTTATCAAGGAGAAGATTTTTTGATAATACATTTTCCCTCATATCGAACTAAATCTTATTATCTCCCGGGCTATGCTACAGAAGAAGTGATGACTAAGGATCTGAGAAGCTTCAAATATTGAGGCTAGCGCTGTGACCAATTAATCAAAATATATTGCAGATGTTGTTATGTCATCATTATTTAATGCTCTATGACAACCTTTCACACCACGTACTCCCTATTGCAATGACCATCCCCTCAATTTACTTAAATTTTTCACCAATGAAACTTCGCCATTCATACCAAACTTAAAAAATCCACTTCATTAGCAACGTGATGCTCTGTACCTCCTCAATCATGTCCTGTAAAAGTTCTTTTGCATTATCCTGATTATACTGTATGATCTATGATTCTAGCTAATGAAATGGATCTTATTAAGTTGGTTCCATATTCAAATCCAGCTGTTCTATAATTCTAGTTAGCAACACCGTTTAAATAAATTGACAAGTACTTAATTATCATTAATCCATCACAGCATACAAATGAGAATATTCAAGTTACTGATGACATTGTCTCGTTGGGTTAAGGGACAAGCTTAAAGATCCTAATTAGCTTCAACAGGCTTGTGGGCATGCAGAGAGGAGCGAGAATTGAAATGCAAATATTTATATACCATAGGATGAAGACACTAAGACCAGCATCAGAAGATACAACAAATAAAATTAAGAATTTAGTTTGGTCTGTGTATACCCACCAGATCTAGAAGTGATTGAGCTTCCTTCCTTATTATTGAAAAATTTGCACGTGCCATTTCAGTCTGATCTTTGACAATCTGTTCATGTTTAAGGCGGAACAGAATTAAAAAATGAAGAAAGAACTTTCTACATCATTGTGTTAAATTGAACATAACAAGAGGGAGGTGTAAAGGTCGATTTCCCCACTAAGATTGTATAACCTTTTCCAGATCCAGATCTCCATTTTCCTGTTCATCCATTGTCAATAATTGCAGAACTGTGGTTGGAAGATCAGGATCAAGCATATGCTGACAGTACTGGATATAGCTAAGGAGCAAAGCGTATTGGCTGTAGTCAGGAAACATACACAAAAAGTCGGAACTTTCTCTATTTCTATAGAAAAGATAAAGGAATGGAGAAATCAAATATGAAGCATTATACCGCCTCCTCAATGCTTCTGATGATTCGTTTCTAAGAATTGCCAGTATAAGCTTGAATAGAATAGAGTGGCATGCTCCATTAGATAATTGTTTTGTCATCATGATGTCAAGACAAGTGACAGTATCATTGTTTAAACCACTAGGGCATAAGAACCTTTCATCACGTAGCTTGGCCATGCATGTGAGACCAACCTAGAAAAATATCTTAAACAAAATAAGGCCAATGATCGAGGTAACTTAGATACAAGGTGCCGCAACTTCAACAAACCAAGAAGATGAGATAAGTGCAACCTGTGTCAATATCAGTGCCATCTTCAATGAACAGTCAGGAGAACCAGAAGCACTGAGAGAGGCATCTAGCAACCTATGTATGGAAGTAAAGGTGAGACGGGATCATAGGTTAGCAAAAAAATGAAAAAAAAAATGATGAAATGGTCACCCACTGAAATAATATTTCAGAACGGTTGGGAAGAGAGGATATTTTTCTGGAGGCCGAGACCTAGCAAGAAAAATTGCATAAACAGGATATGTCAGCCCAACGCACTCACGTATATCAGAGCATATCGATGAGTTGAAAACCAAGTGACAAAGAGAAGCAATGTGACCTCAACAATTTGAGACCAGCCAGTTAACATATGAAGCTGAGCTGCTTGTTCTTCAAGATTTTTGTTGTATCTCCAACCCCATCGTAACAGCTGTTGAATTGCATCTCGAATTTCATTAAGCTCAACTTCACTATTAAAGGAGCTATTCTGGGGATCAAACAAGCTATACTTCTGAAAGAGGGATCAAAATTTAAAAGAAACGTCATGTAGCACCTCCAGTGGGTAGAAGCAATCTCACTTGGCTAAAGGGATCTTACAAAAATAAAGGCGGCAAAACAAAGGAAAAGTGTGGTGTGGCGATAAAAAATACTGCACCTGCCATAATTTGTCACGAAATGCAGCTAGATCAATTAAACGGTCTCCACGCTCTGAGTAATAGTAAACACCACCTTTTTCACAAGTTGCAGGATTGGTGAGTATATCTTCAGCCTGCAGAATGCCAGAGAATGAAAATCCTACACCCAGAAAAATCAAGAAAAACGGATTCAAACACAATATGGTTCTTACCAGAAACCCATATTTCGCGCTCGAAACAGCTTGTGAAGATTTCAACAAAGTATCAGGAGATTTAAACTGGACAACTTCAAGCAACTCCAATACCTATACATGAATGCAAAAGGAAGTTGTTCCAACTTGCTTTAATAAAGAAAATAGAAGATACTTATTCAAAAAATATTAAGAAAACACAAGTGACAAGGAAGCAATACCACAATAACGACTCATTTAGTTACCAGGGTTACAAAAATCCCAGTACTAAATTTGGCATTACTTTATACTTTAGTTGCATTTATATTTTCAATGTTGAAGACATAAATAAATAAAAGTGTGTTCTCTCTCTTTCTATGACAATTTAAGCTTTTAGATGAGTTGGTCATGGTCAGAGACTTTTAACATTGTATACAGGCTAGATCCTAGGTTCCATTCTCACTGCCACCTGTTATAAAAAAAAAGTGTATGTGCCTGACCCGTGAAAAATGAATCAAACTTGCATGTGAAGAAGCGTGTTGAATACATAACTAAGTATATAAAGGTGTGTTTTCTCTAACTGTGAGACGGCTACATTTTTCCACATTAGTTAAAAGTAAGGATTAGCTAGACGTAGATAAAACAAATAACATGGAAAATGGCCCTTCTGCCAAAGCCATTTCCAAAAGTTACTTCATCCCAATTTATGTGATGGTATTGACTGGTACCGAGTACAAGAACAAGAGATAGATTTTCTTAAATTTATGGTCTAAAACATGCCAACAACATTTCTGTTCCGATAAATTATTTCATTAAGGGTAATATGGTGAAATTTAAAGTTAAATTTTCTCTAAATATAGAAAGTTGTCGTCCTTTTTGGGACAAATATAGACCTAGATGATAACAAGGCCTTTCATCCTCATGAAGAAGAAGTAGAGACCTGGCTTTCATTTTGTCTGTTAAAATGTTAGGTTTACCTTTTGTTATTGAGAATTGGCTGGGTATAGCGGGAAGGAGTTTGACAATCTAGTTGCATATCAGCTAAAAAGGAAAGCTTCACATAAAATGGGACAACGGGAAGGTACGCAGGTCAAGTTTAATACTAGAAACAAAAATCTATCCAAGTTTCTCCAGTTTAAAATCAAACTTAGATTATACACCATATTTCTCATTTTTAATGCAATGCATGAAGCAAATCGTAAAGTATTAATCTCAGCATTACAATCCAACGATTATTAATTCCAGTATCACAATCCTGCATTATAATCCGATCATAATTTTGTCCGCAAAGAAACGACCACCAAAGGGTTTGAAATTGCAGTCACGGAATCATTATAAATACTTTGATAGTAGTAAAAGCTATAATTTGGTGCACAGGTTTAGGAGCGACTTATACATGACACATGTGCATACTATCAAAGGGAGTCAACATCAGAGGGTGGAAATTCATCATGGCATCAGAGCAGGCAGGGTTTCTGGGTTCGACTCTCACTGCCACTCATTATCAAAAAAGAAAAGCCAAAATAATTTCATATTTTAGATGAGATAGTCACACACTTCAACAGTACTCCTGAATAAACTCATGACACAATGAGCAGTAAAAACTTTACCTTAGCCTTACTAATCATTCTGGCTCCATTCATTGCAGGACTGCTTTGATGATTGGGAGAAGATACACCAAGATCAGCATCATATTCAAAAATTCCGTCCCCAAATAATTGAGATAAGATACTTTGACAAGCTTCTCGATGGGTGGAACTAGACATATCAGCCGCATGTAATTCTACTGTTAGCAGCTTTAACAGCCATGCCCTCTGAAGAAACAATGGAGATGTGAGAAATGAATTAGATCAGGTAAGCAAACTTGGATAAAAATTTGAAGCATATTCACCTGGTTAAATAGAGGAAAGAAGGAAGAACTACTAGCTCAAAAACAGACCTGATGAAGGGAACTGACGCGAAGTGCCTGACTACTATTCCTTTTGGGTAGTGGAGCAATACCAATTATATCCAGATGCTGTAAAGATAAAATTTAAACAAACAACTGAGACAACATTGATCAAGAAGAAAGTTTTCTAAAATGTGATTTCAATCCATGCATTAGTTGATATGCACCTTCACAAAGAACCAATACTTTTTGGTGCTTAACAAATCCATCATAGGACCACAAGTCAGGGGATCTGTACATAACTCATAAAGAAGCTGCATATAATAACCAATTATAAGCTCACCAAAGTTAAAGGAGTTATAGCAGTTTTCAAGAATATAGACTGACAAAGCCTCTGCGGCTTAAAGTCATTAGACAATCTCCCTTTTCACATGAAAAGACATTAAACAAGAACATACGAATTAGAATGCAATACGATGGTCAAACCATTCAAACCTGAAACGCAAATTCATGGAGAAAAGCATTGACATCAGGCTTCAAAAGATTTTCCAACACATCAAGAATGACCTTCAAACAACTGCAGTACAAAGAAAGGAATTTCAAGCCCTTGAGCAAACAAAGGGGCACGGGAGTAGAAAAAACATGTCAATTGAACAGAACCTATAGTGAAATTTTGGCTGAAGCATGGTCCTCTCCACAGGGCTATTGACATCAAATTTGAGTAATAGATGTGCGATATTCGGGGCAGGCCGACTAATATTATCAATAAGTAGCTGCAGTTGAAACCGGAGAATCAGTCAATGATCCTAACCAAAATTTAGAAGAAAATAGAAGGAAAAGAGCACTAGCTTTGACCGATTTCATTCTTTAAAATCAAAAGCGAAGATAATTAAAAGTATTAATTAATTTTTTGAAAGAAGATTTTATGGATATCCAACATCAAGTGAATGCTGGTTAGTAGTATGTACAATATAGCAGCATTACATGTCAGGTAATGTGCTCAAACAATCATAGCTTCTACATCATTAAATGAAGCCATATTACACCAGAAAGAAAGCGAAGAAACACATCTGTTATTAAGTTTTTTGAGAAATGGTAAGTTTTATAAAATCAGCAGCACTAAGAAAGTGCTGAATTACATACAAGTGAACAAATAACAAAACAAATTCTTGTTCTAATCTTATAGGGAGTCTAAGAAGCTAAGTATTGATTCTGCTTCTTCTATGAATTCCTTTTTGCACCAAAATGAAAACAAAAGCGTACGCTTAAATTTGATTTGCTGGATTGAGCATCATTTGGCTTCGAAACATCTGGCATTTCTTTCCTTCCATACGGTACACAAAATACATGCCGGTATTCCAGCATGTATTTGACTGTAGTTACAAATACTTTTCAGGATGCTACATCTATGCCTAAGTAAGAACATCTCTTTTTATTCAAACAGATAAGGCAAAGTCGTTCAAGGAATCAGAAGCTTTGAAAAAAGATACTCCCTCCATCCAAATTTATGTGATGGTGTTTGACTAGGCACGGAGTTTAAGAAAGAAAGGAAGATTTTGAAACTTGTGGTCTAAAACAAGCCTTAGAAATTTATGTGGCTATAAACCATCTCATCAAGGGTAAAATGAGAAGTTTTAAGGTAAACTATTCCTGATTATAAAAAGGTGTCATTCTTTTTGGGACATGCTAAAAAGGAAATAGTGTCACATAAATTTGGATAGAGGGAGTATAACACCACAACTTAATTTCTTCTTAATGTTCCAAGTTCAGGAACCCACTGATTATGATTGCCTAAAGAAAGAAAAAAGAGAACTTCAAACCTTTATTAAAAAAGGAGAGAACTTCAAACTAATAAACAAGACACGGAGGGAAAAACTCACGAAGGAGGGAAAGGGCATGCTACATTTAGTAAGGAAAAATAAATGTATAGGTTACAAATATAAAATGCAGAAATATGTGAAATTGAAAGCACATAACAGTTATAAAAACTAACTGCAGAACTACAACATAGCACAGTGGGCAGACACTTATCTTGACATCCCAAGGGAACTCATAATATTTCCATTTCTAAATATATATTGTTAATGAGGAACTAAGATATTCGATCAACATATGCAATTACTATAGCAAGTTCTTAGAAATTGATGCTATTGATTGTGTTTAATCATAGTTTCTCAAAAATAACTCATTTTATTTGCATATTCTGCATATAGCAATGCAGTCCCTTCTTAAAATGTTATTGGAAGTCCTTTTCTTCGAAGTTAAACTAGAAGGTTCAAGTTCCTCTAATAGTACATTAAGTAAGTAGATTAGGGTCTATCTTGCTTGGACTCTCCAAAATACTGCCGCACCCGTGTCGGATCGTCCGAAAATGCACTACTTTTGGAGGATCTAACACGCACCCGACAATATTTGTGAAGAGTCCGAGTAACATAGATTAGGGTTACAATTATACAGTATCATACCAAGTAATAAAGAATACAGATTCCACCTCATTCAATGTTTCAGTTACACATTCCAGTCATTTTATGGCAAATTTTGCCCTTCTACCAACTATTCTATATTGCATCCTTCTCCGTCATTCCCATCAGTCCAGTGAAACTTGGCTAAAGAATACAGGATCCCTATTTGCTAGATTAAAATCTTCTCACCTTCCAATTCTGAAGGTCTTAGATCCAGGAACTTACTTGCAGTATGAGAACGCCTGAATCTTCACGGGAGTCCTCAATAATTTGACATTCTTCAGATCGCAGCTCTAAGCAGGCAGCATAATCCTCAATCAAGCTCCCTGCAGCATTGGATTTTATGAGCAACTGAACAAGCCCAACCATGCGAGAACTGCCATAAAGCACCATCAACGTCAGAAATTGGCACTGTAACATGAGACAATGCAATCCTTTCTTAATTCCAAATATGATGCTACATTTCTTCTTTCGGTTGCCCTAAAATAGTTTGTGCTTTCGGTAAAAACTAATTACAAGGGAAAGAAAAAAGGTGGGAAACTGTAAAAGGTAAATGCGGGGTAAATGCCCGCATTTGAGTTGGTAACAGAAATATCATTGGCGTGAAGGAACAGAACTTCAATCATTGCATTTAATCATGTTGTTTGAACAACTGGGACTAAGAGAATGACAAACATTTGGGGATGAGGAAGTAGAAATGAAAAGGCGAGGATGAAAGTATTACCTAAGGATGTTCATTATTTTGATAGAGGACTGTTGAACATGGGGCTGCAAATCATATCTGACATACTCCAATAAAGCCACAACTTGGTTCTGATCTTGTGAGAGAATGACATCCAGAGGCTGCATAAACAAGAAGCACCAGTTAGACAATGAGATGACAGCAAAAGAAGGCAACAATATGCAGCCAAACAACTCGATCAAATCATATATAAGTTTTTAGTGCATACATATAATCACGTGCAGCATGTTTCATTTTAAGAATATTCATTGTAGTAACATTGATTCGTTTAATATCATTTTTTTGAAACTGGTAACTTTTCTATATTTCATATGTAGCAAAACAGTACTTAGGTAGTAACATTGATTCGTTTAATATCATTTACTCTCCATCTACGAAAATATTACCCTAATGTTCTTCCACGGAAATACCTGTAACTACTCGAGAATTGAACATTAAAAAGTGCTGCTAGTGGCAAAGACAACATGTTACCCTGTAAAGTGGCATTGATAGTAAGTAAAACCAAAAGCATGGCCAAAACTATTCCTGTATGTTCTGACCGCTATGGAACCAGTGTCCACTTGAAAAAAGGTTGAAAAATTAACATGTTTGCATAAAATCTTATTGGCAAATTACGTTACAAGGTCTCTATGGAAAAAAGAAATTGTATTAGCAGAAAATACAGCAAAAAAGGAGGTGGCAGCTACCCATCCATAAGAAGTGTAAGAGACCTAGAATATATACCAAAAAAACTAGTCAAGACATTCAAGAAACCAGATTCTAAATCATTTAATATAACAGAACCAAGAAAGTGTGTCAAGAGTTACAGATTGTGAAATTTCTTCTTTTATGATATTTTAAAATCACCCGTCCTAGATTCAGTATCTTATGATTGGTCTTGCATTAATATCTACAGCCCTATGTTGGCCGCTCTTCACTAACCACCTGTAGTGAATGATTTGCTCAATCATCTCCCAGCCCAATGTTTTTAAAAGCGAAAAGTACAACAAAGTGACAAGATACATAGTGCTCGAAGCGAAAAGAAAAGAAGAAAAGCGCACGCTTCTTCAAAGACCAATGCACAATTATGAGAAACTAAAGTATATCAAACATTCCCAAAGACAACAAAAACTATTTTTTTTTTTTGAGAAACTAAATTAAAGTCTAATTGATTTCAGTATCCAATATACAGTAATGCCGAGGTTAATCCAACTCCTCAAAGTTCAGATTCAAAAGAGCGACCAATTGTGATTAGAATCATACTTTTTGCACCATTGTTTGAAGCCCAAACTTCTCTAAAGCACATGGCTTTATAAAGAAGCAATAACCCCTCGTTCCACATTTCTTCAACGCTTTAAACGACGAAGCGATGGCTCTTAATTGGATTCGCCATCTCTGTTCGGATGATGTAATGTTCTCACGAAAAATAGTTTCCAAACCTTGAAATTATTCATCATGTTCAATTGGAATGAATAAAATTGGTGAACAACTATGTCGCTCACTATTTAATCCCAGTAGCTTGAGGGAATAATCGAGCAGATTTCTCACAGAAAATAACAGCTGCCCTCAGGGGGGACACAATTATTCTCCATTTTAATGTATGAGAAAAATATTGTCAACATTATACACAACCATTGACCCAAAAAAAATATTTCATTAAATTTCCCATCATGCGAAACAGAGACTAAACTTTTGGTATTGACATGTTTTATTATGAACAAGCATAGAATAAATAAAACAAACTGAATAAAAATAAAAACGGGTAGTGTCAATTAACATGAACAGTCCCTACATATATCAGACCAAAGTGACAGCATCTATGCTCCCGTTTCAACTAGTTGCAAAGAAAACAACCACTATGACACATTACAATTGGTATAGGCAGTAATATGTGAATAGTGGTTACAACAAAATTAGCAGAACATTATATTCATTCAAGTTAGAAGCTTCATCCAGTGGAGGTGAGGCAACAGAAAAGAAAAAGCAGGAAACTCGAGATGAAGATTAGGATCCTTACTTGATACAAAGGACGCCAAAAATCAGACACAGCTAAATCTTTCTCCAATACGAGATTTATAATTTCCAAAGAAAGCAGGACAGCTTTTTCAAGAAGTTGCCCGTAAATTTGACTTGTTCGTTCACCGATTAGATAATTGACTCCTGGTGAAAGAATACTCATGATATTCCGAAACACAGTTTTACCACTCATAAAATCCTGCGTAACAGCAAAAAGAATTTACATAACTCATGTTGCCAACGATAAGTATGGCAATAGTAACTTATAGCATACAAATAATAGCAAATACTTGCTAGATATGAATAGGACAAAGAGACACTAAAGTAAAGTAACAGAGTAGTTTGAGGAAGTAATACTTTCATCAATTCTATTAAAGGCAGCTGCATCTGCAGCGGAGTAGATTGCCCTGCTTCTGATAGCTGATATTGGTCCACGACGCTGTCAATATCCTCATCTCTGATACTATACATGCTCAGCATCCTGCATATAACATTATTGGACATGAAAGTCAGCAACTTCTTTCATAAATCTATAAGTAAATCTTATACCCCTCATAGACAAGGCCCAAGAGAAAAAAAGAAAAAAATGTACAAAGGGCCATAGAGGAAATTGAGATAAGACTTACATGTGGAAATGTTTGAGGCAAGCTATGACAAGTTGCCACTTCTCACACGGATCAGCATAAGCTCTCTGTGGGAATGGCCCAAAGACATGATCATAAATGAATTTAAAGATGCCAATGAATCTGGAGAGGTGTAGCTCGGAATGAGAAATAATACAATTCCCGAAAAATATTAACTAGAAACCATGATATGGTACATGTAATCGCCAAAAGCCCAATACCTATGCCCTCTATCACTAACATCCTTTTCAGCAGCAATAAGTGTATTCAACAAATTAATGAATGATATAGTTGAAGGGTATTGCTCCCTCCTAGCTTCAATTTCATTCAGCTCAAATCGCATATCATAAACCTGCAAGAACAAAGTGTTGGATGAGATAGTTCCCCTTTAAAAATAGACAAAGCAGAGGGAAGATGGGAGAGAATAAGGAATTGCCTTGGGAAGGCAAATGACAATGCATTAGACCATGAAAAATAGTCGCCTTATCAGAAAAAGCAAAATTGCATCTTCATACAAGCAGAGTGATGGTCTAATCTTTTCATTTATTCCAGCAGCCACCCACCCATTCCAACCCCTCCCAGCAATACAGATCCAACAGAATCGAGCTCTACTTAATAAAATAGTTTGACCTCTTGTACACGGGATTTTCCCAACTTCATTAAAAAATGATTACTTTGTTATATATAAAAAATAAGACACAGAGACTGCCAAGCAGATAAAATAACAGACACACCAACCTGTGTTGTCAAGGGTTGTGTTGTATTCCCAACAACTACAGGTAGATCATATTGCTCTAAATACCTCCAAGTTGTATCTTTCATAACTGGTGATACTTGAACAAAAGTAGCTATCGCATTTCTTAGCGCACCCTATTAATCACAGGTACAAAAATAATTAGTAGCAGAACTTAGTGGCAACAAATAAGCATGAAACTGAAAGAGCGACTAAACCAAAAGGGACAAGAAAATAGACGACTTACCTTAAGATAGGGAGGGACATTTTCATAACCAAGCAGCTTGAACAACGGCTCAATATCAGGGAACCAATTCTTCCTTTCTACGGGATTCGCATTTTCAACAACCTGCACCACACAAAAAATCATCTCAAGTCTGTTATATCCACGCACCTGAGCAGAAAAACATACATAGACTGAATTTCCATTACAATCTCCTAAAAATAAATCAAAATCAGATGTTAAGAGATCTCTTGATTAATCACTTGAGAGAGAAAAATCCATGACCTTCCATACAAAATGTTATTTCATTTCTATCTCAGTGCATTATAGGGTTAAGTTGAGGTACAAAAGCTGTTCCTCCGCCGGCCTTTTTAGCTAAACAGAGGTACCTCTATTATCTCTAACCTGCTATCAAAACAATTAGCATCTTACAAAATTTCTTAGACCACACTAACTATAAGTAGGTTATGTTGAGAAAATTAACTTCCCCCAGTTCCCAGGGTTTTAGTCCAGTGGTACATGTGTAGAGGCACATCACGGGTTCGAATCCTAAAGTAGACAAAAGCATAATATTTAAGTGGAGAAGGGTAGAGGCAGGGCCCATTATCCACCGAGGTTCAAACCTAGCACCGCTGGCCCTCCGGGATTCTCCTTATCAAAAAAAAAAAGTTGAGAAAATTAACTGTGAATTAAAAATTAACTGATTAAAGAAATATCAGAAGCCTATTATGTTATCCAATTCTCTAAGATATTATAAAATTAACTTAAGCACCAGCTTTGCAGTTTATAGTTCCCAACATTCATTAGAAACAACCAGGGCTTCCCACCAAAAACTGATTATCGATTATTTTTCACAGAAAGAGTGCAGCGCGATGTTTTTACATAAAGCCAAAGTAGTACACATATAAAATGTGGGTAGTTTCAGACTTCGTGGCGGCTAAATACCTAGGTAATTTTAAATATATAACTGAAGATATGTTCCCATGCAAAGCTCCCCAAAAACAAGACATGAAATTAGTTGAGACACAAAGGAGATAACGTTTCCACCACATTGCATTCTAGTCTATAAAGTGAAAACTGTAAAGAACATAGACAAAAATGAGATAGGCCAGTGATATCACTCACCTTTTGCAGAACATTCAAGTAAGCAACAAGTGCTTTGGCATCTCCTTCCTGTATCTCTGGCAAAACTGTGCCAGGACTTTGCACAGCTTGTTTGAACTTTTCCTCATAAATTGATAAACAATCAAATAAAGTGCTCCATCCGATAGAACGGAATGTTTTTCCCTGAAGTAACTCAAAAACTTTGGAAGCACCCTCAGCACTAGAAGCCTGGGTTAGATGCATGAAAATCACAAGACTTAGTTGATGCATGCTTATCATTAGAAGGTATGAAACTTTTACCAACTTGACAATATAGCCAAACTTACTTACCAAGGTACTCAGCATTCTCAAAAATGCTACAAGTGTTTGAAAGTTAGTGTGATCCTCCCCGGCAAAGTTGACAAATGTCCACAGAACATCATTACCAGACAGCAACTCGGGTTCTCTCTAATGAAAGATCACAGACAAGGAAGTCAAAGTAAGACGATAACAATCATATAGGGAAAAAGAACAGAAGAAAGATGGAACAAGAAAAAACAATTTGTAACTTCTGTCTCCACAATTTCATGTTTTTTAACTTCTTTTGAAATAATAGTTGTGAGTTGTGAGAGGGCCATCTTGCATGCATCTTGACAGTTTCACTGGATACTTGTATCCTCCTATCAGTACAGCATAACCAATGCCCCACCAAAGATTAGGCAGATGGGAACAAATGACCCAGCAATTCTGTTTCTGCTGGGATCTGAATCTTGGTCTTCCATTGCTTTCCTTTTTTTTTTAACGGCGGTACACGATCCAGCATCTGCGCACCTCGATTATTCCACCGAGTATTTACTACCTCCCACCAGCGCAGGTACAGAGTAACTCTACCCACTAAAGCTTAGCTAGGCGGGAAGAAATCAGTTAGTGTTTTTTATCTTTAATGGATTAAACCCTGCTTTTCAAAGGTTGCACCCATTTCATCGACCACTAAGTCACACCATAAGGTCTTGATCTTCCAAGGCTTTAATTCCAACTTCATTGATTGTGATGCCACAACTTTAGTTTCGACACAACCTCATTGTTAATGGATACTCACTAAAATAACCTCAAGACAATGCAGACCATGTACCACGACGTCAGTAAAACAATCCTTAACGGCCTTCAAAAACCACATAAAACATCTACTGGAACGGGTCAATCTCACTTCGTAACAGGTTTAAGCAGATAGATTACCTTGTAATAAGGAGTCATGCAACAGTGCAGATCAACTTCCCTTTAACAGCCTAAAATATGATGTTTAAAAGGTATCAATTGATACAGTACACAAGCTATGGTTACACAAGCACGCTTTTCATGGTCTATTCTAGGAATCACTTGGGCATAGATTTGAGGATCTTTAGGGGCTCAAAAAGTAGATCCTAACTTTTACTTAGAGAATTAGATAGTACATAGTTATAAGAAAGATGGCCCTCACTCTCAGTACACACTTCAGCACTCTCTTAGTGAGGCTAACTACCTAACTTATCAAAAAAGAATACTAGTCTTTATTTTTGTTGCCTATTCCCATGATAGTCTTAAATCATTCCTTAATATAGCAGAGCAATTTTGAATAAAAGACTCTTTGAAGTAACCCAAACAACTATGGAAAAAATAGAAAAGACCAAACATACTTAAATTAAGTACTATAATAATCAAAGTGCAATTAAAATAACTAAATTTAGCATCCAGCATACAATAATAGCAACAATATAAATCCAACAACTCAAAATTGAGATTCAAAAAACAATGCTTTATTTTTTGGATCGTTTTATGCGTCATTATTTGAAGTACACACTTCTTTGAAGCGCGTGGCATTGCCATGAAGGAAAAACTCCTTGTTTGACGTCGCTTTAAACAACGAAGCAATGGCTTTTAATACCACTGCTGCTAACAGCATAGCGCTAAATCTGTTGAAGTGCTTAAATAAAGAAACCAGGCAAGCTCAATATCTCAGAGATCATAGGTACAGTGAACAGCAATGTTTGACATCTACAACAAAAGGTCCACTAATGGAAAAAAAAGAATGGGACTAATGAAAAAAAAAAAAGAAATTTATATATGTAATGCAAGAAAAAGAACTACAAACACAAACATTTATTGTTTGGATAAAATAATTTGAAAAAATAAAATTATAATAAGCACAATATACGAAGTAAAAATCATGCCCATCAAGTTTAAAACCCATTTTGAACTTCTGATTCAGGTGGACAAACGTAGTTTAATTTTTAATTGGGCTAGTTTTCTTATACTAAATTTTTACTCTCTTATTATTGCTTATTAAAATTTCATCCATAACGTTTTTTAACAATTAATATATTAGTTTACCATCAATATTTTGTAATATATTAGTTTACCATCACTATTTTGTCTATTGATGATCACTTAAAGAGGAGTCCCTGGGTGATGAGGTCATCCTTATCACCTTACCACCAACATTAAAGTGCCACCTAAGCAAGGCGAAGCGCATACCTCGGCTTTAACTGAGCTTCAGGGTTTAATTGCAACTCAACCGAGCCTCTGATAACATTGTATGTAACAAAAGACTCCCATACAAGGAAAACTTCAGGTCAATGTCAGCCAAATTGAGCAACGGCGGCCATTTTGTGTTATTGTGCCTCGTCAAAAAGAAGCTAAGTCTTTATTTATGTTGCCTATGCTTGGTTATACCCCAAGATAGTCTTAAATCATTTACTGATTGCGGTAACAGCATAGTTAAGTCTTTCCGGTGCTTAAACTAAGAAACCAGGCAAAACTCAATAGCTCAGAGACTACAGCGAACATTGATAATGTCTTCCCCAAACAACCCACTTTGTAACAGAAGATTCGAACACAAAGAGATCATCAGCATCAGACAAAAAACAATAAGTTAACACGGCCTACCCAAGATGAAAACTCCCCACCCTGTGTTAGCATGTGCTAGCACATGAACACAACACACAACTCACACTTGAAGACATCTTCTTCATGGTCTTCAATATTCTCCACTATAAAACCTTAACCAAAACCACCTGCCTCACACGGGAGCCCCCCCCCCCTTCTCCTCTCTTCATCTTGTTCAACCCACCCTACCACTGCCCAGCTCAATCGCCAGAGAACACCCCTCCCAAAAACGCGGACAGAGTATACATTCGATATATCATTTTCGACATGTGATTCGACATATTCAAAATTCGAATTTTCATATCGACATGACTCGAAAAAAGCTGTTGACATGTGATTTGTCCCTCCCCAAATTTTTCACATTGTAGCACGTAAATATTTAATTTAGCCTTAATGTAGCTATTTCAGCTTATTTTGACTCTTTTACTTTATTTTCGTCAAAAAAATAAAAATTACAAAAAAAAAGATATATAAATTTTAGTTTATTTATTTCTCATAAACTTTAAAAAATACAAAAATAGTACTTTATATTTTTATCTTTATATATAAAAAACGAAAATTGTAAAAATAGTTTAATTAATGTGTTGTAGCTTTTCTTTTTTTTTTAAAAAAAAACTTGAAAAAATATAAAAAATAGTTTTGTTTTAATTGTCAGTCTTATTTTTATAGTTATTTTGCTTATGTAGGATTAATTAAATAAATTCATGTTTTCATTCTCGGTTCCGGGCAAAGAATAATATTCGGGTTCAAAGGACCCATTTTTAAGCCTAATTTTCGAACCTAGCCCGTAACAATCCGAGCCCACCACACGTAGAGGACACAGACAAAACACAAGAACATGGGCACATGGACAAAGTAACATGGGAAGGCTTTTAAAATTTGGACCACTTAGATTTAAAAGAAAAAAGAGAAAAAGCACATGAAAACACCCTACATTTACATATACACGGATGAGCACATGAAGGAAGGGAGACATTTTTTTTGGNCCCCCCTCTCATCTCTTCGTCTTGTTCAAACCACTCTACCACTGCCCAGCTCCATCGCCAGAGAACACCCCTCCCAAAAAAAAACATGGACAGAGTATACATTAGATATACCGCGGATATACACGGGCAGAACACCCCCTCCCCGACGTATCTCCTTCTTTTTTCTTCTCAAACCAGAAAACAACGACCCATCCAGCAGCCATGAACGACCAGTGAAACGACCATCGCTGCGGCTGCTGCCCAGCTCCCGAGTCGACCAGTCACGAACCTCGTCGTCCACCCAAACCACCCGTCGACCACACCACCAACAGCCCGTCGAGGTCGTTGGCAATCTTGGTTCGAGTTTTCCGTTTCTGTTGAGGTTGTCGTTGTTCGTCAAGGTCCGGTACGTCGAGGTTGCTGTCCGAGTTTCTGTTCCGTTGCGGTCATTTCCGGTTAGTATTCTAAGTTGTAATTTTGAATCGATGAAAGGTCTAATTCTTTTCCTTTCTTCTTGCGATTTTGTCACCTAAATTTGTCGTCTAATGAACGACTTTATGAAAATGTTCTCGTGATTGACATTATCGTTTATGTGTTGATGTATTCTTGGTAAATGAATTGCTATGTTTGAATTGTTGTCTTTATATGGAATATAAAAAATATGAACTGGTTTAATTTTGAGTTATTGGAATATAAGATTATGATTAAATCTCATGTTAAACCTTTGGATATATGCCTATCATTTTTCATTCTGAACTAGCATGTTAAGTGGTTATTTTAAATCATAATTGTGTTTCCTTGATTCACCGTGAGCATTTTATCCATAGTACAGTGAATGTATTTTGTCTTTTGTCATCTCGTTATTAATTTAGTACATTGGAATAGTGAGAGTGTTTAATGAATTAATGAAAGGTAGATTTGGTTGAATTGGTAGAAGTTATTAATCAAGTTTCGGTGATTAGGTGCAATTAATAAATTATTGTGATTACGGGTACGGTTCCCGTGACGTAGTTGCGATACTTAATTTCTAAATTCGGGGGCGCATTTCATGTGACCCGACTTCAATTTCGAACAAGGTTAAATAAAGTGTGTTGTGAACCACGGGTGTCATGGTTTGAGATGTTTTAAATAACCTTGAATTTTTCCGAAATGGTAAAAGTTATTAAAATAATAACACCCTTTTGCTTTAACTTTTGCTTTAATTTTAAATTTAGCTTTAACTTTGCTTTTGCTTTAACTTTTGTTTTTGCTTTAACTTTTGCTTTTGCTTTACCTTTAAGCTTTAACTTTGCTTTTGGCTTTAGCTTTAGTTTAAACATATGTACAGCATTTATTTGAAGTATTTTTTTTAAGTTGGTTGTCAGACGAGCCTCGCAAAAAAAAAATGCACAAACTGCGAGGCTCTCATAAATGTATATATTAAAATACTTAGAATACGGAATGAGCCGTATAGCGAACTTCACGGTTTTCCTCAAAGATAATAACGCGTTAGACTCTTTAGACGCGATTTTAATTAAATTACATGCTTAAATTCGGGTGCGCATTTATGTGACCCAAATCCAAATCTCAACGGAGTCGGAACGTATTAACAACCACGGGTGCATTGATTGTAACGTGGTTCGAGATGCATTTTCACGACGTTGCAATTCTATTAAAAAATAATAATAAAAGCGGTTTTAAACTTAATAAAAACACACAGGTTATAACATGTATTAAAATCAGATATTTAGCCATTATAACAATTTAAGCGACCGTGCTAGAACCACGGGATCCGTGGGTGCCTAACACCTTCCCTCGGGTCAACAGAATTCCTTACTTAGAATTTCTGGTTCGCAGACTTCATTTGGAAAGTCGAATATTTTCTTCGAATTGAGATTCAAGATAAACCGGTGACT